GTTGGAACATCATTATCCTCGTGCCCATCAGGCAAGGCCGTGGGAATCCCAACACCGGAAAGCCATGTGTTCGCTTTGGGGTCTGGGGCTTGGGAACCTTATCCCTGAGCCCTATACTAAACCTGAGCGCTAAGTCAGTCCTAGACCCTAAACCCTAAACCCTGAACCCTAAGTCCTAAACCCTAAACCCTAAACCCTAAACCCTTAATCCTAAGTCCTAAACCCAAAACCCTACCTTAACCCTAAGCCCTAAACCCTAAGCCCCAAACCCTAAGCCCGAAGTCCTAAGCCTTAAACCCTAAGCCCTAAACCCTAAACCCGAAGTCCTAAGCCCTAAACGCTAAACCCTAAACCCTAAGACCCTAAAAGCCCTAAACCCAGACCTTGACGGCTACTCTTAAGACCCCCTAGCTTGGAAATAAGTAGTACTATAGGGTTTAGGGTTTAGGGTTTAGGGTTTAGGGCCTAAACCATTACCAATAGTACTCTGGGGTTTCCTTATTATTACTGTACTATAAAGGAACCCAAAATCCTGTTCTAATTATTAAGGCCCCTACCCCTAGCTTTCAAATAGCCCTAAACCCTAAACCCCTAAACCCTAAACCCTAAACCCTAAACCCCTAAACCCCTAAACCCTAAACCCTCAGCCCCTAAACCCTCAACCCTAAACCCGAAACCAGCAGGTGAGTGGCCTCATTGACTTGCCTCCGGCGGATCTTTTCACGATGTGCGGCCCTCAATGTGGTTCGGGGTTGAGAGTTTTTGGTTTAGGGTTGAGGGTGCAGGGTGGAGGATTTAGGGTTCAGGGGTTCGATTTCGATTTTGAAGGGCTTCATGGGCTTCAATGGTTTAGATCAACAGGTCTCGAGGTCTTGTGGTCAGTTTGTGTCCTTCACCAGGGCACTTAAAACAAGGATTCTACGATTGAGGTGCCTATGTTGGTCCGTTGTTTTCTGGTACCGCGGTCAGTATCGTAGGGTCGCCATAGCAAGAAATGTACCCGTATAAAACCTAACTCTAATTAGTTCAGGCCCCTAACTGCTGTCCTCAACCCAAGTACCTAAGTGTTAGGTACCTTGAGACCTTCAGCAAAGAGGCTGGGTTTAGGGTTTAGGGCTTAGGCTCTAAATCCCCAAGCCCTAAACCCAAGAGGGTCCATATATGCTACTATTATGGAATTAGGTCCCCAAAACCATAGTAGGGATGGTCTTTTGGGACCTAATTCCATAATGGTAGTGTATATGGACCCTCTGGGAACCCTAAACAAGGTGTAGGGCCTAGGTTTTGGGGTTTAGGACTGAGGGCTGGGTGGTTTATAGAATCCTGGGCTTAGGGTTTACGGTTTAGGGTTTAGGGTTTAGGGTTTAGGGTTTAGGGCTTAGGGTTTAGTTTAGGTGGTCTGGTGGCTGGGGTATAGGTGAGTGTAGGGAGAGCATCATATAAAGGGCTGAAGAAGTAGTAATGAAACCTGCCCTCAATATACTCCTAGAGTTTAAGATACGCCAAAAACACCCTAGACCCTGAAGGTATAGTGCATTGAGCATAGCCTACAGGGCTTCAAGATCTGACAGAGTAGTCCCAGCACGAACCTGGATTCGCAAGCCGCAAGCCGCAATGAGCTGCAATCCCGAACCCGAAACTTCAACCCTGACTTAGGGTTTACATACGGCTGATGGACAAAATCCTGCATGACCCTATATACCTAAACTATGGGATTTATGGTACTATACTATATTTGGGTCATGCAGAATTTTGCCCATCAACAGTAGGGATCTTTGAATTTAAGGCTTGGGGCTTGGAGGATTAGTGTCCAGGGTTTAATTAAAGGTACAGGGTCAAACCTGAGCCCGGTAGAGCCGGTAGAGAGCCTCTTTAGAGATTAGGGTTTAGGGTTTAGGGTTTAGGGTTTAGGGCTTAGGGTTTAGGGTTTAGGGTTTAGGATCCGACAATCGGACAGCATGTCAGGTTCGATCAGGGCAATCCAAAGGCAAGCAACCGCCCTGGGTTCAGGCTTTGCCGAGTGTCCGGGTTCAGAGTTGTGGCGCGTGCCGATGTCGTGTTTCAATTACAGGGTTCTTGTTACAGCTTTTAAATTAAGTTACCATAATAGGAATCTGTACTAGATAATGTGTTTTCCTTATTCTGGTAACTTTGAATTAAGTCCCTTAGCAAGAACCCAGATTAGCTTTCAGGGTTGCAGTCCGCAAGGCCTTAAACCACAGTAAGGCGTCATCTGCATCATCGCTTGTACGGTGTCGCCGTTGACAAGTGTCGTCTCTAACCAGAGGAGACTCAAAGTGATGACCGTTCAGTTGCAGCATAAGAGGTGATCGAGTACCAGATTGACTTAGTAAGAGTGATTACCCTAAGGGTCCTAAGATTTTTGGGAACCTCAGGATGTAGGGGTTCGGAGACCCCAAAGAGACCCAAGGACTCTCCCTAGGAGATTCCGGACCCTCCTCAGGAGATACCTGGACCCTTAGGGTAGGGACTATACAGGCAGTGATTGGTAGGATTCGCGGCCACGTTCTTCGGGTGGCAATGCGGGAAGTTATTTCCGCTTCCCTCATGGCTTTATACGGTTTAGGGTTTAGGGTTTAGGGTTTAGGGTTTAGGGTTTAGGGTTTAGGGTTTAGGGTTTAGGGTAGGAATAAAGTTTATTCCTTAAATTTTAAACCCTAGTTCCAAACTTTGGACAACTGTAGATCCCTTCGTGGCTTTGCACAAGCAACTATTCATGCATAAGTTTGGCGGCCCCGAAGCAACTTGCGCCAAACCCCCAGCCTTCCAAACGTCTAGTCTAGTAATATCAAGCTCGGAGTAATTACCAATAGTTTGCCCCTTAGGGTTTAGGGTTTAGGGCTTCGGGTTTCTATATGTATATCGACAAAAAAAGTGTAAACGTACTCCAATGCCTTGATTAGCTATTCTGACATTCAAGGTCCTTCGACTGTTTCGTCCAGGTTCCTTCCGTCCCTGATAGCGACGCGTGTGCAGTCGCAATGCAGACTGAGTCGTATGTACTATTACCCAGAGGGTCCATATACACTACCATTATGGAATTAGGTCCCAAAAGACCATCCCATTCCTACTATGGTTTTGGGGACCTAATTCCATAATAGTAGTATATATGGACCCTCTTGGTTAACTGGTAAGACCTTGATCTACACATTCAGGCGCGTTTGAATCGAGTCTTTTCGGGTTTAGGTTTCAGGGTTTTCCTTCTTTGCGACTTCGTGGCTGGTTTTTTTTACACAGCTTCAGGTTCTGGTCTCTTGTACGGCCTAAGCCCTAAGCTACCCCAAGCGCACCCTGAACCCTAAACCCTAAACCCTAAACCTTGTCTCTGGGTTCCTTGCCGACAGATGTCACGCGTCAACCCGACCAGCCCTCCACAAGACCTATCTTGTAGCCTCGCCCATAAAGCAGAGTCTACACCCTAACCCCTTTAAGCCTAAACCCTAAACCCCAAACCCTAAACCCCCTAAACCCTAAACCCCCTAAACCCCAAACCCCCTAAACCCTAAACCCTAAACGCTTAACCCCTTAAACCCTAAACCCCTTAAGCCCCTTAAACCCTAAACCCTAAACCCTAAACCCTAAAACCCTAAACCTCAAACCCCTTAAACCCTAAACCCCAAACCCCAAACCCCAAACCCTAAACCCTAAACCCTAAACCCATACTCAGGGGCTGGTAGACGTCAACTCGTTTGGGTTTTCGCCTTCCTTCGGCCCTGGGCTCGAGAGCTTCAGCCACCATGGAGAGAAGGGCGCAAAGGGGGCCCCGCCCTTTTGTCGGGTTTCGTTCGTTGTCCTAGAGGGTTTAGGGTTTAGAGTTTAGGGTTTAGGGTTTAGGGTTTAGAGTTTAGGGTTTAGGGTTTAGGGTTTAGAGTTTAAGGTTAAGGGCTGGCGCAGACAAATCTCGAGCTAACCCTGCACCTACCACACAAAAAGGCTCATGTGCAAAAAAGTCATCGGCCTAAATTTGCCGAAGCCTCTCATCTAGACGATGAAGTTAACATCAAGGCCATGACCCTAAATCCGAAGCGGAGGCAGCTCAAGTTTCCGCTTATGTTTTAAGGTGTTTAACCAGTTTGTTGCCATGGCAGCCACGCTGCCGCCGATCGAGACGCTGTGCAAGGCTCTTCGTGTGTGTATAATCGGCGCTTGCATTGAGGCTTCCCTCGGAACCCGCATGAAATCCCAAAACCCAACCCTACAGTCTTAAGCCTAATCCCTGAAGGTTTACATGGGGGCTTGTCAGCAAGCTCTAAACCCAAGAACCTGAACGTGAAACTCGGTCCCAAAGCCCGAAACCACAAAGTAGGGCTTCGTCGAGGGTTTAGGGGTTTAGGGTTTAGGGCTTCTAGGGTTTGGGCGGGGAGTCCCCATGGCACCAAAAAGCAAATCTTACGGCTTGGTGGGCATTCTAAACCCTAAACCCTAAACCCTAAACCCTAAACCCTACAATGCTTTCAACCAACCCCGACAGAGGAGTCGTTCCTCCGGGAAGATCCTTCGGGATCCGGGCGCTTGGACCAGGCGAGCTCTTCTTTGGATCAGGGGTTCAGTTTAGGGGTTGAGGGGTTTAGGGTTTAGGGTTTAGGGTTTTTCGGAATCTTGACCGTCAGGTCTACATGCGCGTATCGGAGACGTAGAATTTGGTCGTTTTGTTATAACAGGCGTTTCAGAATATCCTTCGGGTGCGGTCTCTACAAAGGCTTCATGGGTGTATCTTTGCATTTCTCTTCTGGTTTCTTGAGAGGTGAGAGATTCCTTGAGGTGTTATGCAGGTCCTTTCGCTTCTATGAGGGTATCAGGGCGTCTTTGTAGTACAGGGTTTGAGGCTAAGGCTGTCAGATATGTTTTAGAAATTCTTGTTCCTTAGTGTTTTCTCTGCCAGTGGAGGGGATCGTGATCTCGGCTCGCCGATGTCTACAGCGCGTCGGTGGTTCAAGCATGGGGCTTATGGGTCTCAGGAAGTGTTTCTTCTTTTTGTGATTGAAACCCTGAACATCAACCCCTAATTCCCCAAAAGCCTTAAACCTGCAGGTCTACAAAAGGTTTCTGGCCGTTGAAATGCACGGATGGCCACCAAAATCGTCGAATCTGCCACAAACGCTCCTCTTCGAGGAACATCGACTGGCTCCAATCCTTGTCGATTTGGGAGGTCCATCATTCGGGAGGCCCTGCGGGCCTTTCAAACCCCAAAGGGGTCCCAAAGCAAGGACACTGCACCGGTTTAGGTTTTGGGTTTTTAGGGCTTTTTGGGTTTAGGGTTTAGGGTTAGGGTTTAGGGTTTAGGGTTTAGGGCTTTTGCTCGTCTGCTTCGTCTGCTGGCGCAAGCTAAAAACCCTAAAACCCCTAAACCCTAAGAACCCTAAATTTCCTAAAAACCCTAAACCCTAGACCCGAAAAGCCGTAAACCCTAAACACCCTAAAAACCCTAAACCTTAATAAACCCTAAAAACCCTAAGCCCTAAACCCTAAAACCCCTAAACCCTGAGCCCTCACTGGCGTCGGGCACAAAGTGGTTCTCTCGGGCTCGTGCGCAGCTGGCGCCCGCGGTAGCTATCGTTGGCTCGCTCCAGTTTCGGGTTTCAGGGTTTAGGGGTTTCGGGGGTTTAGGGGTTTAGGGGTTGCAGGGTTTAGGGGTTTAGGGGTTTAGGGTTTAGGATTTTAGGGCTAACGCCCCACCACCCTTGGAGTCCTAAACCCTAAACCCTA